ACCCTGTATATCATTATCATTAGTATATGGATCCGATTTAGGCGGGATCGACGATGGACTTTTGCTGAGTGTGGCCAGAACTAAGACTAACGTCATCGTGAAACTTTTGATCCGTTGGCTACTTTCCAATAAAATGTCAAATGGAGTTTTCGAGAGAAAATAATAAAGTTTCTCTCCGTCAATTTTTATTTGATTGTTTCAAGACGTGCTTTCTGTCTGCCAAATGTTGTAACAATGGAGCAATACAAAATAAATGTTAGAATGATATGTTATTTCATAATATATTCGTTCAATCGTTTGTCATAGATCGTTTAAGAAATGCACACTTGATGAAAATTAAGTATCAAAAAACGCATTTTATTGGCATGTACTTATATACAAATCTTTTTTTAGTTTTGACACCATTGAGTTAGAACAAGATATAAGCATAGACATAAAATCCAATGTAAGCTAAACGTGTTGTACCATCTAAAACTTTCAAAAGGCAATTGAATTGGCTTAGAAATGTATTTGACGTAGCTGGTCACTATTTTATGTGACATACTATACATTACTCGTCACTCATCACAATACCAACAATTCCAAACAAACAAATACATATTGAAATAAAGAATTCCTTTTTTTATTTATGTGAGATAAGTAACATTACTGGCTTACCAGTCAAATAAATAAGTTCTACAATTAAACTGAAAATAGTTATAGAACATAGGTTTAGATCAAATACTGGGATTAGGTAAGAATATTATGAATATTGTATTTGTTGTGTAGTATCATAGATATTCACATACTGTGTATGAATACTGTAAACAAATTTAATGAAGAACTATTTGGTTACTCATCAATTTTTTTGCCTTGATCAATTTATTTCAATTTTTTCATATAACTATGGTATAACTATGGTGGTGGTGGAACTATGGTTCTACGACGTGAAGTCTTATAACATAGCTATGGATGGTAATGGCAGTTAAATTTACTCGGGAAATTTAATAGGCTATCAATCAAAATTCTCCATACCACGAAAGTTGTAGGCCTGTGTAATATAGACAAAACGTCATAGGTTAATTAAATGGCCTCTGATAAAAAAAATGCAATAGCTTAAGCTGAACAAAACCCGAAAATGTAGAAATGTCCTTGAATCGATTCAGTCGTATCGAACCTTGCATTAAAGTGTTATTCCTTCCAGAAGAATAAACCATTTAGCCGCAGAGGAAATTTATTATATTTTCTTCTGAAAAGAAAGTAGCAACCTACGTAAGGGACCTAACTTTCTGGTAACGGCCAACTTCATGTGGAACTAAGTTTTCTTCTTCAGTTGGTTAAACACTTAATCTTTTATAGAACCAGCAGAATTACTTATATTAGTAAAGGAATGCTACCCTTACAAGTAAGTATTAAAAACCAAAAGTGTAAATAGGGCTTTAGAACTCACTGTCAATGTTTTTTTCATAGTCGAAACTAAAAGGAACATTTTGCATAAACCATGTTTTAATTATTTTAACCCTATAATTAAACTACAATCGCTTAAGTTAGTTGGTGCAGTTTATCAAATTAACATCAAAATTATGTTTAAATAACAATTGGAAAGGTTTTTTGAAAGAGCATATTAGAAAACTATATCAATAGCCTACAACGTACGAGGTCATTTCTATTCATTTTAAAGAGTAGCTTCAGATGTCACTAATCATAATATGTCACTCGTTTATTAGCTTCAGCTTTTGTGGAAACTGTTCGTAGCCAGAAAAAATTGTATTTGTTATAACTTACAAATTAATGTTTGAGATAAAAATATTCGGAGACCGATAAAACAGCAAATACGTCCTTTATTACTTTTGAACTTTAGTATTAAAAACCAAAGCTAGAAAACACTCCAATCGAAATCGATCACCACTTACCACCTTTTTTGTATATTTACCATCTTGTGAGTAACAGTATAAGCGTAAATATATGTTTTAAGTGTTATAAGACGTTTCCTTTATTTGCTTTCCGTAAATTTAATAACACGTACAATGCTAATCAAGAAGTTATAAAATTATATGATACAATGATGTTTTTACTATCATACCATAATTATTGGCTTAGTTGCTCATAAACGTTCTCATGGCTTACATTGAATTATGATAATATTAGTATATTTTAATTTTTCTCAAGACATATTCATACAAGGAAGAAATGTAACTGACCATAAATATTTGCAGAAAGATTTTCTAACTAAGCCATTAAAAAGTAAACCGTGACAATTATTATTTTACTTGATTATGAATTATGGAATGCAACAACATATTTAGGAGGAAAGAAGGAAATAAAAAGAACCCCAAAATGACAATATTACTTCCTGAGGAAGAAAATTACAATAAATCTTTATGTATAAAATGGTTCCTTAGGAAAGTTAATACCACAATAAAAAGTGTCTAAACTTTAGGCCCTAAAGGTTTCTTTACATTAAGGCCAGCAGTTTATGAAATTAAATATTTAAACAAGTTGCACTTGTATAAAACTTACAGAGTAAAGATTTCCTTTACTCTCATGTATATTTTAAGCCAAAGTTTGGTCCAAGGAGAAAACGAAAACTTCCCTGAACCCAGTGATCAGAAACGTGTATGAAATATAAATAAACAATTTATAGACAACTACCTGGTCTGTTAATAATATTTTTGGACGTTATTAAGACTATACCTTATTATAACAACTTATGAATGTATTGAAAGTAATATAGTTTTACATGTTATCTTAAAAGACATCATGTAAAATATTTAATGGATTCATTTGATTTTCAGGTTGGTACATACTTCCAAAACCACTAAAATTTCGTAAGTATTAAGTAGTATTTCGTAATATCTTATAGAATGCTATAATGGTCGAAGAGTACAATATTTTAATACTGAAAACCAATTAACTTAAATGATGTAAGCTACAACAGTAGAAACCTAACCTAACCACCCTAAGGACAGTTCAGGTTAAGTTAGGTTATAATCATTAGGTGTGGTCGGTATAATACGTAGCCTATTTCACAATAGTTAGGTTAGGGATGTATATACTCTTGACATGCCAGTTTTACAACATACAGACCTTTTATTGAATTATTCTTGACTAAATAACGTTTATATTGAGGTGTTTTAAGTTTATGAATATTATTTTGATGTTTTCCATAAGGGTTTATAAAAACAAGTTGTTGTGACAGAAAGTACTACACAGGAATAAAATAAAAAGAGAATTGACTTTGTTCTTATAATATGAAAACTGCTTAATATAGATATATATCTTTAAAATAATAAGTTTTGATGAATGGACTTATCACTTTAGAGGGTTTTTAAACATACTTACAGCAAGTCTTTAAACTATTTAATTCGAATGTTGATATGAATAACTAATTGATAGCACTCAGTAACACTTGTTATTTACAAGTACCATTATTGTTATTTTGACGGAAGAAATGTCCAATTAAAACGGACACCTTCGCTGGTGACCCATATAACTGGTCGATCGATGTGTCGGGACACCTTAGTTCTACGTCATTTGATTTCATCCTGAATATTCACATGACTTTAATTACGCACTCCTAACGTATTACTAATTAACTAATAATGTTAATATTAAATAGTACAAGATTATCGTTAGAAGAATAAGAATGCTTGACTAGCAATATTACAAGCCACGTAGAGTAGATACAAACTACTTTTTTATTTATTTATTGAAAACAATGGATATGTTAGGCTATTGCCATTTTCTGACGATTACGGAGGTCACTTATGCCAGAAATTCCTATCAGTTTATGTCAGTGTAATAAAATGATCTCCAAAAACCCACATAGAGTATAAAAGTAAGGCGAATTTCTTGCTCACCAACTTATACTTTCTAATGTGTGTGTTGCTCGAAATTTATCAGTCATATCATAATTCATTTTAGTTTAACAATGCTCAACAACATTTCACAGATATAATTTCTTCTTTAATATTTCTTTGTATTATACGTATATATTTAATGGCGATTGTATATATTTAACTGTGACCACCAGTTTCGACTAACTTGTAAAATTAATTACTTTTTGAACTAAAACTAAAAAAACATTAAAAAAGTTTTTTTTAGATCCACTATACCTGGATAATCGGAGGGAAATAAAATCACCCGATCACCAAATAAGTAAGATAGATTGTATAAAACAATAATTGTTATTTAATTTCTCAAAAATTTAAGAAATAATGTAAATTCCATGTATGACAAAGGTAATGTCAAAGTTGTCGAATCGAATAAAAACAAATTTTATTCGTTATAAAATAAATAAGACCGAGAACCTTAACCCTTGAGTCCATATGTGTTCAACTTATTTTCAAACTACCAAAGTAAAGATAAATTTTACGAAGAAGTACCAAAATCTACATATTTTTGCATTGTACGGAAATATCTTCACGAGTTAACGTTAACTCAAGAACATATCTTAATTTTTTGGACCCATTTTTGTGTACAATTGAATTTAATCACTATTAATAAATTACAACTATTTAAAAAATCTGCTCATCTTACAGTATTTGCATCTTTAATAACGAATAGAAACCTACTCCTGCTATATCCTGAGTAGGCTACTGGCAACAGACTCTGCAGTTTGTAAAAACAAACAAAAAATTGAAAATATGAAGGCTAGTACGGCAAACAAGAAGATGGTGTCCCAACATCACTCATAACAAAGAAAAATGACAGCGACCCATAAATCATCTGCTTCTGCGGCGCCCGCTGGAATTTTCTTCGTCCAAAAATAGCCTAGTAATTAAATCCAATGTGGGAAGTTCAATATTTCATATTTTATGTTATTTGTTTAAACTAGGTATCCTTGCTGTGTATACGTATGAATCAGTGAAAAATACTTTATTGAGTAAGGATATGTAAATAAAACTTATTTACCAAATATGTGTTCCCAAATAACATAAAAATTAACTTGTTAATGTACTAAACATAACAAAGTATTTATCTAAATAATGAACACGTTTAAATTGTAATGGTATATTTACATTATTTACAACTTAACAATATATATTACTTTCCTAATAATAATGTATAAAAATAATTTAATAAATTTAATTTAAATTTGTTTTGGAAATCGATGAGTTAGATCACCAACTGGTCGGACAATCATCTCGGAAATCTGGAATACAAAAAAAAGAACTTGATAAGTTTCACTAAGGATAGGATATTTTATAGCCTATTAAACCATAGAGTAGGCTTTAAGAAGAGCGTTTAACGTTTAAAAACAAACACTTAAAAATATTTTAAGTTTGACGAAATGAATATTGTTTTGATTTACATTTTACATTTTAGATGAAACTAAAACTGTGCTTAGTATGAAAACGTTGCTCAAAATTAAAAATGTAGGGAAAACGACAAAATGTTCAAAGTCAATTCATTCTGATGTAAGGCAATAAATTCTACCTTTCCACAGTCACAATGACTAGAACCATTGACTATATATACCTACAGGTATATTTAGTCAATGCTAGAACCCATATCCCCCATATAGCCCATATAGATCCTATATAGGCTTATTGGGAACAGAAGTTTTAGTAAAATAAATGGAGATTACATAAGCCGATATTTTTGTGAAATCTATTCTATTGACAGTTTATTTTGTTTTAAACTCTAAATATGTGCCCCAAATCCAGATACTATCCGTTAGATTTTATGACTTGGAGATTTTATTCATGCACCAAAGGAAATTTGACATATCTACCTCTTCCTTAGAGTTTATTTTTGATTAATTTACATAGCGTATCGCAATTACTAGAATTTACAAAGTGCTCTGATGAAATTCATCGATACTTTTAATATTCTATCCTAATTCTTTAGATATATGCATACTTGGTTAAAATCTGGTACCTGTTTCGAGGTAAATTTGTAATTTACTTCAGTGCTCCCTGTCAGTGACTAAATTCAAGTTCAATTATATTCCAAGACACCATCATTGAAATAATACGTCTAGTTTGATCCAATGTCAATGTTAACAATGGAATTGATCTTTTAGTTTAACATTATCACTATCTGTTGGCTATATCACGTACCTGTACATGTGACGGGGTGGCCAGCACGTACATGACGGCGTCTGCAACCGAGGGACAGTCCAGTGTAGGTCCTCGGTCAGTGGCTCGTATAACACCTCCTGGAGCTATCATCTCAGTCATCACCCTTCCAGGACTGACACTCTGAAAATATTAATTGTTCCACCTTCAATCAAAATTGAATTATATCATAGTCCAGGCCATAGGTTAACGCCTACTCCTTCATAGATCAATCGGCATGTCTTTCGTTTTATTTATATTGTATTCCACCTATTTCGTAGGTAAAGTTTCAAATATACCACATTATAGATGATCTACGTGTATAGCTCGCGTCAATTGGATTGGCGTGTGGAAGTCATTTGGTGAAGCCTACCAAGAAAACAGTGTCACACACTAGACGCTGGTGGCATTCAATTAATCAAATTGCAACTTGATTGTAACCATTTAAATTAATAATTGCCACAGTTTCCCACCATGATCACTGGCCATGATCATACAACACATTCATGGTATTTTAGGAGCTCCTTTCCATGAGGGATACCACAATTGTTACATTTATAAATTGGTTTTGCAAATAAAGTTCTGCAGGCACTAAGGAAAGTCCATAACTCAGGAATTGAGTTGAACTTTGTCCGCCCCACTCCTTCCCCCTTTGAAACATGTTCATAGCAGAAAACCTGCAAACTGGACTGAAGTTATACATGAACAAGAACAGTGTGGAAGTTTCCAGAACTAAATTGACGACATTTATGTGGTTTAAAGTTAAAAGTTAGCCATTTTGGAGTCAGCAAGCCTAGAAGAAGTGTCAGCAATTTGCAAGCTTTCTACTTTGGATCATTCTTTCCCTCCTGACCACCTTTAGGGATTTATTGGCAGAGGTGAGAATATTTGTAATACTTTAATTTGATTTTTAACTGATTTTGAAATCATATGAATTATTAAATTTAACTTTTAAAATATATTTTAGTGTAACTTGTTCATGATGAAATCTTGGCTAGACATGCAGTGTAGGAGGCTTTGGAATATTTTAATAATTATTATTTAATATTGTTACCTTTAATTTTAAAGTGATTTAGTCTGATAAATATTGTAGTTGATGTAGAATTCACAAATTACATGGTATTTTTGATCAGTACAATTTATTTCTTAGTGACAGTGGAAAACTTTGCCAACTAAAACCTGTTTTGAGGATGAAACATGAAAGCTGGTAACTGATTACTTAAAATCTTTTAATTTGTCTATTTATTAAAAATGTTAATGATTATGTTGTAGTATACTGTAAATATAAATGTTTAATAATCATGTTCCTGTAATATAGCTGTTGTTGTATTTGTATAAAACTCTCAATCCATATTTTCACATAGACCAGCACACTCACTATGGCTGAATCACATTAGAAGCAATTAATTATAGAAGTTTCCACATTTTAAAATGCTCAATTGCAATTTCTTATTAATAGTGCTGTATATAGTTTGATCCAAAATATTGTTTTATTATGTGTTTTAATGAAAAGTCAACTAAATTAAATGTTCAATGTTATCGGTGAATTTTGAGTCTGACAAAATGATGAATTAATTTAGCAAATTTATAACTGTAAAACAAAGTGAATTATTTTGTGAAGATTTACATAAACGTTCCAAAGTCTCACCAATGTATGTCAAAGTGTGTAAGTATGTATTTAATTGTTTAATAGGGTAAGATGTGTTATTATTAATTTTTGAAAGTGTTAACATTACAGTTTATCATCTCCGTGATTGTACATGAACTTATTTGAATATATTAGCAGCTAGTGAGTCTAAACTTAAATTAAAGCAACCTATGATACATTTTTGGGTGCTAATTTAGAGAGTGAATTATATTCTAGTAGTGAAGGGGATCCATAGAAGAACTAATTGCATTATTTTGGATAAATATCTTGAATTATAGTTCATGGACTTTGTAATTTAACTTATATCTTAAACTCAAACTCACTTGAACTGATTTAAATATATTTAGCGTTTCACTTTTGTCATTGTATGTAAATATCATGTTTTAGGTTAGGTTATGTGAAAATTTATATGGATAAATGAGGAGACTTTATAACATTCATGAACTTTATTCAATTTAGTGAAGATTTATTGAGTTATTCATGTTTGGGACATGGTGTACTACCAGCAAAAATTAACTAGGAACATGACTACTATATTATTAGACCTGAGTACTAGTATGTGTATGGGTTTTGCACAGGAAATTTTTGGACCCTAGTGATTACTTGGTGCTACCTACCTCCCCTGATGTGGTCTTCGGTGCTAGACTGTTGAGTTTCTGGTTCAGTTCTACCTTTTGGGACATCTACTTACCGTGTTGGACTACTTCTCTGGACATTGGTGTTCACTCGTCGACCTGTGGGTGTACCGTGCTCCACCTAACCGTCGCAGACTTAACCAACGCACTCAAACCACAGATAGGACAATTTCATTTTCACTCTTTTGTATTATATGTATATATTTAGATGATTTAAATTAACTTGCTATTGCTAATGTACATTTTCAGGGATTATTCTATTTAGTTTTAAGTGGGAATTCCATGTTTATTGCTATTAGTTAGTGTCGGCCGACAAGTTAGGTATAATTCAGTGGATTTACTTTTGCAAATGTTGAATATTGAATATTAAAGGGCAATTGTTGTTGAGATATCATTCTTTACTTCAACATTAAATAATTTTGTGGTGATTGAAAATTCTAGTTATCATTCAGATCACCTGGTGTGTGCCCTATCTTGATTAGATAAAACAGTTATAGTATTTTTGAATATTTTGAATACAATTTGAATTTAGATTTATAAGATTTATTTGAATTTTGAATTTAAACTTGGAAACCACATTTATTTAAAACATTTTATTTGAACTTGCCCTATTATCTATTTTTACTTCTGGAATTAGTCAGAGAGTATTTTCCATCAACATTCTTATCTGAGTAAAAGATAAGCAGATATCTTGAGCCATATTATCAAGATAAATTTTTGTAATATTTTAGTAATTAATATCACTTGGTAGATTTTGCTGAAAAGTGTGTTTAGCCAAGGACTTAACTTAATTAACTGTAGGGTTTAGCCTCTGCCATTCCTTTCAGTATTTTTGTTTTTCAAAATTATTTTAAATTTTCCTTTTCCTTGGAACATTTCCTAGTTTGGATCCCAGGAAGTTTAAAAACTAGGTGGCGCCCCTTTTCATGAAGAATTATTGAATTATTGATTAAGGATAAACACTCTGTGTATAATATTCATCGACCCACCCCAGACTGAGCAATCCGAGGCCAGAGTGTCACATGATTTAATCACTGTACAAAATAGTATGAGTTACAGAGGGGGGAGGTGTTTCAGTGCGCAAATATCCACCATCTCTCTAATTTAAATGACACGATAAATACCTCTTAGACGTCCTCTGGTACTATAAATATAGTTTATGTGCATACATTTCCTTCAAAAAGGATAAATATTTTCTGGTATTTGCACTTTATGGTATTTCATATGTTATTTTACTATCCGAAAATTTAAAAAAATGAAAACGGAGTTTTAACTTATAAATCAAACTGTACATTTGGTAGTAGGGTACTTAGTCAACAAGCAAAACCCAAAATCAATTATTTAGTTCATTAAACAATTACTTCAGCTTTATAAAATAAACCTGGGAAGTGCAGTTGAGCTAAATAGAGTACAAGTGAGTTAACCTATGGAATTAACTCGTAAGTCGTTGCTATTAACTTGTCTCGCTTAGTCCAGGGAACGAAAATGTATATAGGGAAATGTTTGGAACCCAATTTCTGACTTCGTAACTTTCTTTAGTATAGTTAGGAGGTAAATATAACAAAAGTTTTATACGCGAAAAACATACAAGATATCGAAAAATTGTAAAATACAAACTTACTAGCAATTTAATAAGCTTTAATTTTGTATAGGACCATAGTTTCACTTGGGCGCATGGTTTCCAAGATTTCAGCAAAAAAAAAACACAAAAATAGTACCTTCAAGCCCACCTCTCCACCACAGCACAAGGGCTAAGGGCGGGGACTGTTGGAAGGTTTACCTCCTAACTATACTAAACAAAGTTACAAAGTGGGAAATTGTGTTCCAAACATTTCCCTCTATAACCTTTTTTGAGCAATCTTTGCCTGGATTAAGTAACCCACTTTTAAAATCTATTTAAAGCCTTATTTTTACAAAGTGTGATCCAACATAAGCTACTCACAGACACTCTGATGGTAGAGTTCCCCTCGACCAGTTCCCTCCTCATCGCCTCAGTCAGGATAGTCAACACGTGTTTTGTGGCAGAGTAGACTGACTGACTCATCAACGTGCTCACCTCATGACCAGTCACACTGTAGACACAAACAGAACACGTAGTCAGTCAAACCACACATCAAGACCAAAGTGAATCCGTATGGACCTTTACTAGATGGAATAAGTGGAAATCATTGAAGTTTTCCTTAAGAGTCCTTGGAGCCCTAGCTGTTCTAGCTCATAAAACAATAACAAAACTACAAACAAATCTTATCGCACAGTGTCCTAGATATTTCAGTTACAATCCCTTTGGTATTTGAAAAATATTTTTGGGTGGTAAATAACTATTCAGTGACGGTTTGGAATTAATCAATGATGGCCGCCAGCCTTCAAGGACTCATAACCATGACTTGGTCTATGTAACATTTAATGGCAATCCTATTCATATTTAATTCGGGTTCGAATCAATTTTCGATTGACTTAAAAAAAACACGTACATTTTTATGGATATATTTTCATGAGGTTAAATGCTAAACTTGATCAATCAACCGTATTGTTCCTTATTGTGTGTGTTTTATTCTAAATGAAATTCTGGAACCATTAGATCTTATGGCGTTATATTGCGAGTACAATAAAATGATTTGAATTAATTTATGGGAATTAAATTACGAATTAAAACTAATGGTATTTTATTGCCATCTTGAGCACCGCCGGTTTAACGATGTTTCAAGGACAAACCCTTGTTTATACTCGAAACATCAGACCTGTATGATATACCAAATGTATTAATAATGTTAATAAAATTAACCATGTTACATATATTATTGGAATTCTTTTTTTAATACACAATCCAGCCCCAAAATACGTCAAATTTATTTACAACCAATTTAGTTGTGTTTTACTCCAAAGCATTCTAAATTATTTTCCACGGAGATACCACTCTGTTTTCTTTTCATTATCCCTGAGAAGCAGCATCTATTTATAAAATTGGCTTAGTACTACGTCAGTCCTATATCGAAAGAAAAACAGTTCTGATTACGTTCCGTTTTTCAACAAAATATATTTAAACTTCATTAAATCATTTTGACGAATTTATTTCATCACTTAATGCAACCTAATCACGATTTGTTAGTCCCAAACGAAATAAAAATACTCGATAAAGAGCAGATTTTAGTAAAAAGAGCAGACGTGAGACGATTGGTTTTTAGTAGGAATGTGGGAATCACACAATTAATCTGTACTATTCTAGAGTGTAAGGGTTGAATTACCTGTTGACGTTGATGATGTTACCGTCAGTGACTCCTCGGGTCTTCATAGATCTGACCGCTTCTCTTGTACAGATCCCTACTGCGAACACGTTCACATCGAACATGTTGCGCCAGATCTCCATGTTGCCATCTGCAGCATTAGCGTTGTCTCAACATTGTGTTTGAACAGGGTGATACACAGAGAAAAGTCTCTGTGTCATGTTGTCTTCGTTTGTATGAATTAAATATGAAATGTTTGACCGCTTTTAATTTTTTTTTATTTTTATTTAGGTCATAGTAATAATGTTTTAAAAAGAATGTTGGTATTTGAGCTTTTTATATTGGTATATTGTGGGTTAGTAAGGATACTTCTTGGTTTTTGTATTGGTTATTATTTATTTATTTATTATCTGTTCTGCAAAGTTTCGTCATGTTCAGGTACTCATCAGTTGCACTTTAAGCTCAAGACTTTGTTTTAAATTTTCATTTACGTAATGGAATTTAATATTTTTTCTTTAGCTAATTTTATACAAGCAAACTTTACGCTTTTTGAGTAGCATGTGTCTTGAAGTGTGCTGAATATCGTAGAATTTGTTTTCTGTAAAAATTTGTAGGTATAGATATAATTTTGGGTATACAGTTAATCTAAGTCACTCTATTACTATTGTAGCTACTACTAGTAACCTTACAGCTTATATTCAGATATAGATTATATCCAGGGTATTCTCCACGCCAAGAAGATCGACCTTGACAGGGATGCGGTATTAAGAATCTAAATGCCAGAAACGGTGCGAGCCCTGAGGGCTTAGGTCACATGTTGGCCTGACTTGAAGTAATGTGACAAACAATTCCAGGTCTGTGTCCAACAGAGTAGAGGGGGTTTTTAGTGAGTAGTCTGATAATTTTCAGGAGTCTCAAACTACAGGCTGGCTACCTGTGTGCGTAAAAGCATTTTCCCTCCTCTCCCTAAGAAAAAAAAGTAACCTTACAGCTTACTAAAGGACGTTTGAAAACCCATCATTGAATTATAGTTTTGTTACTGTTGAAAATTGTTATTATTGTTTTTTTATCAACTAAGTACATTCATTCTTAATAATTAATGCAACTCTGGTTGGTATTGAAATGCATATTCAAACGTTTTTGTAACGGTTGTATTCCAAGTATTAAAAAAAAGTAACAATATAGATTTATATTATTAGATATATTTTATATTATATAAGAGATATATAAATACAAAAGCATGACGATTACTATCCATTCGCTTTCCCACTGGAGTCATTGCTGTAAATATCGCATTTGAGTTAACTTAACTTGTATAACCCAATGGGAGGTGAAAGGAGGTCACTATATTTTTTACTTTATAATTAGTGTTTGGAAATAAACTCAACGAAATAGGTGCTTTTAAAAGTAGAAATAAAGAAAATGCTATGTAGAATAATTTGATGATTGCACGAGGATCATTATTAGTAATGAATCGTAATTCAACTAGATCTCATTTTGATTAGAAGAGTATAACGAGTAAGTAAAAGTGTATTGGTAAATTATTTAACTATATAAATACACAAGCATTAAAAAGATATATACAACATTTACGAGAGTTGCATAATTTACTTTTGCTGAAAGGTGCCGCTAATGTACGATACGACCTTATCAACTTCAAAACATACTAATATTCATATAATTCAAGATACAGCCAGTAATTAGATATCTTGTTTCCAGAACAAACATCAACAGAAAGCAATTACTTGCGGCTTAACCTTGTAAAATATCGTACACAAAAACCAAACAAACACTGTCAGGGTCTAATTACATTGGGATTATCTTACAATATGAAAGGTCGGACATCGTGTTTTGCTCATCGAACTTTGTTATTATTTTTAAAGAAGACTGATCCTATGTAAATTGTACGCAGTGGTTTTTGTATTATCAGCCTGATTATTTTAACATCAATGAGTGTAACTGCAGACCTCTATGATTATACAGTACATGGTTGACTGCTGAGTTATTAATTATTTGCCGTAATACAGAGTACTATGCCTACATCGGAGAAGTGAGAAACTGTTAAACACTTCTAAGATAAAAAAATATACTCTTATTTAGCAACTAAAACTAAACCCCAAGAGATGATTTGCGAAAAATCTAAAAATATTAAGTTGGGTTATTTAAATTATACCACTGATATATAGCTATTTACGATGGTCTAGACAAAAGTCCGTACGATAATATTATTCAGTATTAAACAAATTCAGTGATTTCAGGGAACCTTTTTGACAAGTACTGCTGTACAATTCAGGTTTTATATAGGAATCCTGGTACGTGTTTTAAGTCGTCTTGCTGCATTTACCTCGGTGACACCATTATTTTACAATCCTTTCTTTGATAACCATCCATGTATTTGACGAACTCTTCGTTTCTTTAATCCTCTAAAAAAATCCAGTAATCTAGACATACTAAAAATCAAACGTAAAGTTAAAAATCGTCACTTTCCTCAACCGGCTTATAAAACGTTCACTAATGCAAACGCGTTTTCTAATTCAATTAAAATTGCATCACAGTCAAATGAAGTTATTACGTTTGTATGATAAGGGATTATCAATTAGGCCGAGCTGATATGGCAACCAATCTGTTATCAGACTCATCTGATTACAACCAGCAACTGACATCTGACTTTTGACCAACCGATGTTTACTCTATGTAATTATAGCTCGAAAGCTTTTAGCCTCAATTGCCTGATGAAATTAATCACTTTTTTGCACCAGACTGAAATTGCTTTTAGTTCGATGTAAAATTTTACTATTGAGTAAAAACTGTATAATAAAGATAAATATTATAAGATAGCATTTTGATATCCATAGCTTGTCTTTTTGGAAATCATATGCTTTATTGCAATGAAAATGAAAGCATCAAACTTTCAGATATTTATTACTAAAGACATTAATTCAATACTCTATGATCTCCTTTCTTTATTTTTGCTCACTGAGGTTGGCAAATGTGTGTATACCCTCTTAACGTTTCAATTTGGTTACACTGGGTAAACTAAACTTTTACCCACATGACATAAAATTGCACTTTTTAGTTAGTTTCGTGATTTTGTCGAAACTCCAATGGAGCAATTAGGACGGAGCTTACAAATATTTAATGTAGTATACCCTATCGAGCGACCCCTCACTTTAAAAGTAGAGCTCACTGGTATCAATGAAGAGCTAAGAGAAAATCAGAGGACTCTATCTAAAACCAGAACAAAATGAAGGTTAGTTCTTTGATTAGTCTGCGAGAACCTACCTAAATGTAGGTATCAATATCCTCTATTATATTTGTTAAATGTTATACTAGGGAAATTAAACTTGGTGTTACCTTTGTAAGAAATAAAAATTGACAATTTGCTCTGTATACCAGCTTTTCGGGGCCCCAAAATGAGCTATTCTGGCGTAAGCAATACTTGTAGCCTACAAACAAGATTGGAAGCAGACTACTTCTAAAACTTTGTCAAGCCGACTTGGTAAATACAAACTTAGAGCTCAAGCTGAGAGTATTTGGAATAAGGTAATCAAATATGGTCAACAAAATGTAAGCCATTTCACTAGTATGTGTTCTTTGTTAAAGATAGCAAATTAATTATAAAAATATATGACTTTACATGATAAGCTTTAATATTCACAAGTATCGAAAAAAGAATCAATCAAAACAAAATGCTCACCCAACACCCTTGTTCTTGTAGACACTCCTGCATTGTTGATCAGAATGTCCACCCCTCCTACGTGTTTTTCTGTCCACTTAAACGCTTTGACAATCTCCTCTTCACTCCTGAGGTCTGTTTTGATACCGTAAAACTTCCCTTTTGCTCCTGACAGTTCTTTTTCTAGTTCCTAGAACACGCAGATATTTATTATCTGTGAGTAGTTGACGTATTACCTGAGAGATCATACAAAGTGCCTCCATAATTATTGAAGTATTCAAAATTAACTTGGTTATAAAATAAAAATATTAACCTATGTTGAACTTCCAAGAAACACAAGGCACCACAAAATTAGAAGTATTATAATGAAGGCCTTCCGAAAATTTTATAATACATGGGAAGTCCATGAAGAAGTATACTGTCTTTCCTCTGACAGAAGAACTAGAAGAGTGAATATTTTGTTGGTTTAAAGACAAACAAAGGGGTAATTCTCAACCCAACAATTCGATATGAAATCAACCTAATGAAGTGAATGAGGAAAAAATACAAATTTATGAATCATCTTTTTAATATTTCAAACAAAATTTCAAAAATGGAGGTGATTTGATTGTTTATGGCTTCAAGAGGAACATTATCAAAGAGTTTTGTGAACTTTTGGAAACATTATGATTTGGACAAATCCTTTAAAAACAAATATTAAACATGAAACATTATGAGGTTTGTTGACTAATGAGAAATCATTTGTATGGCAAACATCAAAATTATGGCTGTTATAATAATTTAATATTGTATATTTTCCTATATTAGCAACCTTATTTTTTAAGGGTGTTTGGTCAAAAATTTGATGTCTTATTTTTTGTTATTGTTCAATTGTACTAAAAATTAGAGATACAAATATATAAGAAAAAATTATTTATTTTGAATATTAAGCGAGATATGGAGCTTGAAAGTAGTAAATTTTTAATCTTTGGTACCAGTTCACAGGGAGAATGGGTAATGCGATTCTCACCAAAATTTGCATTCAGGTGTGGAAAAATAAGATAATAATCACTAGCTATTTAAAATAAAAAAATTTAAAAAAAAAATTATTTTTTATTTTTTATAAATTTTTTAAAAAATTAAAAAAAATTTTTTTTTAATTTAAAAATAGCTCTTTGTTTTTGGGAAAAATGTATCTGTATGTTGGAATAAAAAAAAATGTGATATGTTAACTCGTTTGGGCTGTGAATTCGTACCTTTGATGCCTTGCGCTGTCGGAGCACTACTCGTTGAGAGTGTGTACACTAACACCGGGGCTTTAGAATACAACGATAAACGTATTCTTTCAATGTTAAAGGATGTTAATAATTACGTGATGTTAAAGTATTCTAAAGCCCCGGTGTTAGTGTACAAACTCTCAACGAGTAGTGCTCCGACAGCGCAAGGCATCAAAGGTACGAATTCACAGCCCAAACGAGTTAACATATCACATTTTTTTTTATTCCAACATACAGATACATTTTTCCCAAAAACAAAGAGCTATTTTTAAATTTTTTTAAAAATTTTGAAATTTTTTTTAAAAAATTTATAAAAAATAAAAAATAAATTTTTTTTTAAATTTTTTAATTTTAAATAGCTAGTGATTATTATCTTATTTTTCCACACCTGAATGCAAATTTTGGTGAGAATCACATTACCCATTCTCCCTGTGAACTGGTACCAAAGATTAAAAATTTACTACTTTCAAGCTCCATATCTCGCTTAATATTCAAAATAAAACATTTTTTCTTATATATTTGTATCTCTAATTTTTAGTACAATTAAACAATAACAAAAAATCAGACATGAAAATTTGCGACCAAACACCCTTAAGGTAAACGTGTTTATTTTTATTAATAAATTCATTCCCCTTTTTCATACAATTAAACATGGACTACAAATAATAATACACGACTTCTTAATTACATTCAACGGATAGTTATAGTAATTAATTGTCCTCTGTTCTCCTAAATATCTTACTAAGCCTATTTATTCAGAATTAGTAAAGAATAAGAGTTAATTATTTATTAAATCTTTCATATAGTACGCAATTACCAAGGCAGGGGCGTTCAGGGCAAATTGGGCGGGAAAGTGACAAAATACGCAGTGACATCAACGTTTTCCACATCACTTCTCGGATTCAAAGTTGATAAGCGTAACAGCTCAGGGCGTTCACAACTTTAATTAATGCCAGTTGCATTATTATTCTAACCCGTAATTTCACTCCCACAAGTCAGCTGACATATTTCGTTCCTAATTAAATGGCAGAACCTTTGGCATTTGACAGCTACTGAAATTGCTGGTAATATTTCCAAGAGGTCAATAGGCCATTGAGATTCGTTAGCCGTGATTTTGAAAATAGTTCAGTTATGTTTGATCTATATAGGTTATTCGTTACAACATTGTTGTTAATGGGTTTTCAAAAAAAGAATTGTATTATTTCAAATTTGTGTATATATTTACGTTAAATGAACTATATAAAATCTACTGTACTCCTACAATTAAGTTCGACACACTCTAATCATAACTTAGGCTCTTATCTCATCTTAGGCTTAAACTTCCCGCAGATCTGAGAACATATGTTTTTGCAGAGCGTTTCCATTACATTACAGTATCACTATATTTAAAGGTCGGGTCAAATAAGATGTTGTTAATTAACTGTTTGTGTTTTACGTTATGATTTTATGATTTATAAATACTACGAAATATAACTGATTTGTTTGTCATAATAAACGTACAAAACCGTCAACTAACTTTTTTAGATTGATTTGGATATGAATTTTATGATTTTGCAGATGGATTTCGGATCGGGTTGGATAACAATCCATTGATCACCTCGTGCATTACCACCACATGAGAGATTACGGTGGTGTTTTGTGGCGTCAAACAAATCGTCAATATTACTCTGTTGCCAGACCTTTCGCCCTTACATTGTAGCAGAATCTTTAGTGGCTTGGCTAAGGCTAAATCAGGGAAGCTAGTCCAGATAGGCTATATGTATCGCTGTTGTGACGAACTTCCCCGATTTAGTCTCAGCCTAGCCACTGAAAATGCCATTTCAATGTAATAGCGAAACGTTTGACAAAACTGTATTTTTGACGATCTGGTTGATGAAAAACACCCCCACGAACTCTCATGAAAGTCTACGTAATATCACTAAATACTACTGAATATGTGGCTATTAAATAGATAAACAAAATATTTTAAGAGAGATATTTCAAAAAAATACCTTGAGTTTGTCCTCATTCCTGGCCAGCCCTACCACGAGGATCCCATAGGACACGAGTGCTCGAGAGATGGCCTCCCCTATCCCGGCCCTCGCCCCCGTCACCACAGCAACCCTACCAGCGAACCTCTCCATGACTACACTAAGTGTGAGGGCACTGAACTAGCGATGAATGAACTATATGCAAATCGCTGAGATTGTGATCTCTACTCGTTGATACCGTGGGTTTGACCTACTTAAAGTACATTGTGGTGTTTTTATTGGGCTTCTCTTTAGCAGTATACTTGAAGATTATATGCGAGGCAATTTTGGTAAAAATATATATCTTAGTGTTGATTTTACTGGATTGATTGATTGATCGATTGATTGATTGAATGATTTTAATTATGTAACTGAATGATGACGACACTGACCTGTAAATTTGCAAATAAATTAAATTTTTGAAGTGTCTAAGAAATAGCGTGTTTAAAATTAATTTTAATTTAAACTAAAAGAAATTATTTAATAACCTTAATAGTATTGTAATCATTTTATAGACAAAAGACGTTAGATTAGCAATTTCAATACCAACAAAAAGCGTCAATTTAAATAACGTCTTAACTTATACATGTTAAATTGACTTTTTCACCTAAAATTTTTCCCAAAACTGCCTGGATTTGAAACAATGCTCGGCACATTAGAACAAAGACATGTTATACTATAATTTATTAAATAGTTGTTTAAATTTGTAAAAAAATACCAACTAGATGAAGCCAGTTTTTTGTGGGGATTGGCAGGTTATAATCGCAGCCTGGTACGTGGGAAGTGTGGAATTCAAAGAATTTGCAATCTTCCATTTCAGCTGCCCCAGCTTCCTTGACTTTCCCTGTAAGGTCTTTGTACCCTAATATATACTTGCGAGGGTACTCTTTGTTGGGTCAATTGTAAAGTAGTGCCTAATTTGTTAGGTTAATAGTGCTTAAATGTTTTGGAAAAATAATTACAAAAACAAACAAATAAAATATACTAAAAAAAAAACATGTTTAACGTTTGCTAATGTGTACAATCATATTATAAACATTGCAGTTTAAATGTTACATATGAAATGTTTTACGTTCAACTAAATAAGAAATCAAAATTTTAAGAGTCTGAGGGGGAAAGCCAATGCCTCGTTTGATCTTGTTGTGTATTTACTGTAGGTGTTCAATTGTCGCTTGATTTAGATGGTTATTTTTACAGGATGCTTTATAAATACAATTCACGTTTCACAGAAATGGACGTGTAACCCCTTGAAAAGTTTTGTTAGCAAATTATTCCAGTGAAGTAGTAAGAAATACCGTGGCCATTATTTTTCTTTGAAAAGAATCAATCAAATTGTCTCATCGTTAAACAGTTATATTACCATATAATCTGAGATTTTAACTTTTAATATTATTCTCCTTCAGCTTAGTATCAAGGTGAACCGTAAATATTGAGATCATCTTTATTGCCAAAAACGTACTCGCTTTGCCAATGCTTGTCTTGACAGTTTTTCATTTTTGAAAGTGATAGATATTTTTGAGTATAATAACACCAAGCTTTTAAAAACTCACCATCAATCCCTCGCTGATGTCCAGACCAACCACAACGATCCCTTTATTGACCAGAGTAGTAGAGACAGCTCTCCCAATTCCTCCTGCTGCCCCTGTCACCACTGCCACCTTCCCTGTCATACTCGCCATGTCTCCCAAGTGTGGCTGAGGATCAGCTGATCTCTAGACAAGAGCTCTCTCATCTGTCTGTGTGAGATAACACAACTGCGATGCCTTTGCCTGCCGCCGCCCCTGTCACCACTGCCACCTTCCCTGTCATACTCGCCATGTGTACCGTGTGTGACTGAGGATCAGATGATCTCTAGACAATACCTCTCTCATCTGTCTGTGTGAGATAACACAACTGCGATGCCTTTGCCTGCCGCCGCCACTGCCACCTTCCCTGTCATACTCGCCATGTCTCCCAAGTGTGACTGAGGATCAGCTGATCTCTAGACAATACCTCTCTCATCTGTCTGTGTGAGATAACACAACTGCGATGCCTTTGCCTGCCGCCGCCACTGTCACCACTGCCACCTTCCCTGTCATACTCGCTATGTCTCCCGTGTGACTGAGGATCAGATGATCTCTAGACAATACCTCTCTCATCTGTCTGTGTGAGATAACACAACTGCGATGCCTTTGCCTGCCGCCGCCCCTGTCACCACTGCCACCTTCCCTGCCATACTCGCCATGTCTCCCGTGTGACTGAGGATCAGCTAATCTCTAGACAATACCTCTCTTATCTGTCTGTGTGAGATAACACAACTGCGGTGCCGTTGCTAGCCGCCGCCACTGTCACCACTGCCACCTTCCCTGCCATACTCGCCATGTCTCCCGTGTGACTGAGGATCAGCTAATCTCTAGACAATACCTCTCTCATCTGTCTGTTTGAGATAACACAACTGCGGTGCCGTTGCCTGCCGCCGCCCCTGTCACCACTGCAACCTTCCCTGTCATACTCGCCATGTGTACCGTGTGACTGAGGATCAGCTAATCTCTAGACAATACCTCTCTCATCTGTCTGTGTGAGATAACACAACTGCGGTGCCGTTGCTAGCCACCGCCACTGTCACCACTGCCACCTTCCCTGTCATACTCGCCATGTCTCCCGTGTGACTGAGGATCAGCTGACCTCTAGACAATACCTCTCTCATCTGTCTGTGTGAGATAACACAACTGCGGTGCCGTTGCTAGCCGCCGCCACTGTCACCACTGCCACCTTTCCTGTCATACTCGCCATGTCTCCCAAGTGTGACTGAGGATCAGCTAATCTCTAGACAATACCTCTCTCATCTGTCTGTGTGAGATAACACAACTGCAATGCCTTTGCGCCCCTGTCACCACAGCCACCTTCCCTGTCATACTCGCCATGTCTCCCGTGTGACTGAGGATCAGCTGATCTCTAGACAATACCTCTCTCATCTGTCTGTGTGAGATAACACAACTGCGGTGCCTTTGCTAGCCACCGCCCCTGTCACCACTGCCACCTTCCCTGTCATACTCGCCATGTCTCCCGTGTGACTGAGGATCAGCTGATCTCTAGACAATACCTCTCTCATCTGTCTGTGTGAGATAACACAACTGCGGTGCTTTTGCTAGCCACCGCCCCTGTCACCACTGCCACCTTCCCTGTCATACTCGCCATGTCTCCCGTGTGACTGAGGATCAGATGTTCTCTAGACAATACCTCTCTCATCTGTCTGTGTGAGATAACACAACTGCGATGCCGTTGCTAGCCACCACCACTGTCACCACTGCAACCTTCCCTGTCATACTCGCCATGTCTCCCGTGTGACTGAGGATCGGTTGAACTCTAGACAAGACCTCTCTCATCTGTCTGTGTGAGATAACACAACTGCGGTGCCGTTGCTAGCCACCACCACTGTCACCACTGCCACCTTCCCTGTCATACTCGCCATGTCTCCCGTGTGACTGAGGATCAGCTGATCTCTAGACAATACCTCTCTCATCTGTCTGTGTGAGATAACACAACTGCGGTGCCGTTGCTAGCCACCGCCACTGTCACCACTGCCACCTTCCCTGTCATACTCGCCATGTCTCCCGTGTGACTGAGGATCAGCTGATCTCTAGACAATACCTCTCTCATCTGTCTGTGTGAGATAACACAACTGCGGTGCCGTTGCTAGCCGCCGCCACTGTCACCACTGCCACCTTCCTTGTCATACTCGCTATGTCTCCCGTGTGACTGAGGATCAGATGATCTCTAGACAATACCTCTCTCATCTGTCTGTGTGAGATAACACAACTGCGATGCCTTTGCCTGCCGCCGCCCCTGTCACCACTGCCACCTTCCCTGCCATACTCGCCATGTCTCCCGTGTGACTGAGGATCAGCTAATCTCTAGACAATACCTCTCTTATCTGTCTGTGTGAGATAACACAACTGCGGTGCCTTTGCCTGCCGCCGCCCCTGTCACCACTGCCACCTTCCCTGTCATACTCGCCATGTCTCCCGTGTGACTGAGGATCAGCTAATCTCTAGACAATACCTCTCTCATCTGTCTGTGTGAGATAACACAACTGCGGTGCCGTTGCCTGCCGCCGCCCCTGTCACCACTGCAACCTTCCCTGTCATACTCGCCATGTGTACCGTGTGACTGAGGATCAGATGATCTCTAGACAATACCTCTCTCATCTGTCTGTGTGAGATAACACAACTGCGATGCCTTTGCTAGCCACCGCCCCTGTCACCACTGCAACCTTCCCTGTCATACTCGCCATGTGTACCGTGTGACTGAGGATCAGCTAATCTCTAGACAATACCTCTCTCATCTGTCTGTGTGAGATAACACAACTGCGGTGCCGTTGCCTGCCGCCGCCACTGTCACCACTGCAACCTTCCCTGTCATACTCGCCATGTGTACCGTGTGACTGAGGATCAGATGATCTCTAGACAATACCTCTCTCATCTGTCTGTGTGAGATAACACAACTGCGATGCCTTTGCCTGCCGCCGCCCCTGTCACCACTGCAACCTTCCCTGTCATACTCGCCATGTGTACCGTGTGACTGAGGATCAGATGATCTCTAGACAATACCTCTCTCATCTGTCTGTGTGAGATAACACAACTGCGGTGCCGTTGCCTGCCGCCGCCCCTGTCACCACTGCAACCTTCCCTGTCATACTCGCCATGTGTACCGTGTGACTGAGGATCAGATGATCTCTAGACAATACCTCTCTCATCTGTCTGTGTGAGATAACACAACTGCGGTGCCTTTGCCTGCCGCCGCCCCTGTCACCACTGCAACCTTCCCTGTCATACTCGCCATGTGTACCGTGTGACTGAGGATCAGATGATCTCTAGACAATACCTCTCTCATCTGTCTGTGTGAGATAACACAACTGCGATGCCTTTGCCTGCCGCCGCCCCTGTCACCACTGCAACCTTCCCTGTCATACTCGCCATGTGTACCGTGTGACTGAGGATCAGATGATCTCTAGACAATACCTCTCTCATCTGTCTGTGTGAGATAACACAACTGCGGTGCCGTTGCCTGCCGCCGCCCCTGTCACCACTGCAACCTTCCCTGTCATACTCGCCATGTGTACCGTGTGACTGAGGATCAGCTAATCTCTAGACAATACCTCTCTCATCT